AACTCAAATATCCCTCCGTAGATAAGCCCCTCCAAAAATAAGCCCCTCAAAAAGGGCCTTTGAAAAATATAAGCCCCGGGGCTTATTTTCGGCATTTTACGGTAAGTGTATTGAAAGATGTAATATAGATTGTATGCTGGAATTTGGCATGTGAGCAGCGTTGAATAGAAATAGAACCGTCGTTAACACCGCTGGCTTGACGGGCCGGCCGTGTAACGCTATTTTTAACCACTGAAATGTCGCGATTTTTCGCAAAATTAGGGTTGAACTCGAGGTCTTGCGGGCTACTTAAAATCGTTTGCCCAGAGATTTGTTTCGATTTTCTAATAGATTGGGGCCTAGTTAAGCCGTAGAAAGTCAATTTGCGAAATTCTAAGTTACAGCGCATTGAAAAAATTTGCATTATTTTAACCCTGTAATTTTGAACGGTAGAAATTGTCATCAGGGCCTATTTTTAGCAATACCATTTTGGCCACAAAATTATTACAGCTTTCCCAAATTTATCGTCTTATATGAAAGAAAGGGTCATAAAAACTATTCGTGTTTTTCAAAGGCTGCCAAATCGTTGTGGTTTGACATACGAGTCAATGGAATTTGTGCAAAATTTCGCTTTACCGGAAGTGGACTTGAGCTCTGAGCGGACAAAATGCGTTTTTTCGAATTTTAACAAAAGAACTCGTTATTTGGGAAAACTAACTACAGCATGTTTCATTACTCATTAAGGGTTATCGATGAGCCAAAAATGAGCGAAATTTGAATTTTGAACTTGTGCTGCAAAAAGTCGATTTTGGTTGATATTTACAGACAGTCGCTCTTACAGCGGTTTTCACTTGACTGTCGAAAGTAATTGAGGAATTGGTTTGGTTTTGGTTTTACTACGCCCTTTGGTTGGCTAGTGTATTAACTTTGGTTTTGGTTTTACGACAGTCAAATGAAAACCGCTCTAATTATCAACAATGATTATTGAACGGGGGAACCTATCAAATGACGGAGACGGGCATGCTCCTTGTATCGCTTAAAAGTAGAATTGCTGAATTGGTCTTTAAAGTGTTACTGACTAAAATCCACTAGTATGTTTAACCATAAGGGTTAAAACAAACACTTAAACAAATGCCGTCATACTGTATTAGAATACGCGTTGAAAAAAGAGGAAAATCAGACGTTTCGAGGATGCCCCCTCTTCTTCAGTGGTTCAGTTGTTTGCTTGGCCCTTTTCGGGGGTCATATAAAGCCTGAGCCACGCCAAGACTGGCATCCTTTAGGGGTTAATAAAGCCTGAGCCACGCCCAGAATGGGATCCTTTAGGGTTTAATAAAGGCTGAGCCACGCCCAGACTGGGATCCTTTAGGGTTAAATAAAGCCTGAGCCACGCCCATATCGGGTTCCTTGAGTGTTTAATAAAGGCTGGGCCACGCCTAGATTAGTCTCCTTTGCCAGTTTAATTCTAATTAACCGACAAGTATTTCAAATAAATCAATAAAATTTTAATGGCTTTCACAATTACTGGTTAGCCCAGTAGTTTACATTGTGGCCCCAATCTACAAATAATTCTAAAATGTAAAAGATATCGTAAAAGGGAGTTAAAGGGTAACAAAATTAAAAATAAAATGGTTTATTGGCGCAGCGTCTGAAAAGAATTTTTTTTTGCTATTTCTAAAATTCTGCCCTTTTATTTGCCCTTGTTTATTTGCTATTTTTAAACGAGGTAGCAGTGCTTGTACAGCTCTCTGATCAAAAAAAAAAAAAAAAATGTCAAGTGTGCTGTCTGACTTTTGGCTGAGAACAAGTTAACGTCCTATAAGTTTCTCTATATCAGACATAGAATTTTTTTTCTCTTATTGGATTATTTGGCTTACGTTTAGTTTGTTTATTCACCTGTTCAGAGAAATGTGCTTAAATTCCAGTCCAAACAAATAACTTGCCGCTGTGCACTCTGCCATCTTTCTATTTGACCCCACGGTACTACAAAATGCCTCCACCTCCCCCCCTCCCTCACCTACCAGGGTGAAGTATATATGGGCAAGGTTTCCCAAATACCACTGTTACTCTTTGACTGAGTGACGGTCTAGACGGATATTGAATACCGAGCAGTGCCCACTAGCTTAATCCTATTAAAAGTTTCAGCGTATCATCAGTACCCCCTACCTCCCTAATAATTTAGTTATGAAATATTTGTGAAATAAAAGGCCCTGATCCCCGACGCTTTTTACTCAATGATATGCGAGGTAAACTCAAGAAATGGAATGCAGGCGAGTTCTTGATGATCGCGACTGTCGTGAGTTTCCACCTATATTTTTGTTAATTATTATTTTTTGGCCTCTAATAAATCTCAAACGGATGACCTTTTTGTAGGCGAAACTAATGTTTCCTCTGGCGGCACTGTCACATAATATAGTCTTCTAATATATTTATCACCAATTTGCAGCTCCTAATTAAGAAATTATTTCCCAACATGACCACTGTGGCACTTGTGAGCCTCTATATTCTCTCTTTACAAACAAGAATTCGAAATTAAGGACGAGTGAAAGTAATACAGCAGACGTGAAACGCCAGGCAGAGGCAAGGCGCACCCCAGCTAAAAGACCTCCTTCGTCGAATAAGAAAACCTGAAAATGAAGTGCTATGACCTGAACAGTCTTGACTAGCCATTTCCGACCCAAAATTCAGACCTAGCTATTTTAGTCCTTCTGTAGTCTTCTAGAAGCGGAAGAAAGTGTATTACGGAATGATATTATACCACCAGAAACTTGGTGGAACAGCATAACTAAAATTTAATTTTTTAATTAAGCTGTACAAGCTTGATGTGCAATGGTTACGTCAAAGAGACGAACATTGCGTCATGATGCATGTGTTAGGCAATAATCCATTTGACCGGAAGTAGAGATAAAAAAATGAAAATAAATAAATAAATAACAGCAACAGCAAAGCTTAGTAAGCCATCCATTGATTCAACAATTCTAAATTTGCTTATTATTAGATGAAAGGTTCCTATTATGAAAGATGTGATCCTTATATCTCATTAACCGAGCTTAAAATTCAGCCTCTCTCTTAAATTCATAGTACCGTAATGTGTCAGTCCTGTACAATATTCCCAATATAGTACACAGTTCAACACTAAACAATAATGTTCTGTGCTTTCTTTTTGGCGAAAATGTAATTCACTTTCTGTAAAGTACATCTCCCTGTAACACATTGTAATGTCTTTAAGTCATCATTCCTGTTTTTCATGAACAATTTAATGCGTGAGTTATCTTGAACAATAGAAATAAATGGGTAGGGAAGTCGCCATTCTCTTAGAAAAAAAAAATTGTACAAATTGTGTGGGTTTTCTGTATGTCGTTGTGGTACGTCTTTACTTATCGGCTGAATTTAGCCGGGACGGATATGGGCAACTACCCACCTACCCCTCCCCTAAAACATAATTTTACCCGTAAGTGAGAACTTAATGTAAGAGTTTGTTGTAAACGTGACCTGATTTTTAATTTCTCTAGTAATTGCCGATCTTCTTGGCTAAACGTATACATCGTATACAGGACGGGCGGCAAGTATTATTTGGGCAAGGGAAAACGTGTTTTGGGTTTGCATAAATCAGAGGTGGGGGAAGGGGGGGATGGAAATTGTGAAAAGTTATGCATACCCGTGACGAGCGACAATTTTACCAACCCCACGAGGGCAGTATGTCAGGCTATGGAAACACAACAGATCACAATGAAAAGTTTTCTTTTGCTTTTATAAAGTAACTTTCCCGAAGCGAAAAAGAAGAAGCAAAACTCTTAATTGCTAGATAAAAGCGCTGATTGAAAGAGAAATTGCCATTAGCCGCGATGTGTTGTAATCTTTTAACGTAATCATTTCTTGTTTTGCAAAAACGACCCCATTAAAATAAAGAAGTTCTCGCCCCTGCACAGCAAAACCGGCATGGAATCAGCCTTGCTTCTTTTGTTCAATGTTTTCACTTGTGATTAAATCCTATTAGTATCCGGTCCTTCTTTTTTTGTAACTTGGTCGTTGCTTCCAAACTTGAATTTATGGTGACGCGCAACAACTGTGAACATACCAGTGGCGGACCAGGGGAGGGGCCCCCTTATTTTTAGATCAGACTGAGGCCCCAAGGGCGGAAAATTTTTTTTTTTTGAGACCCCCCTCCCCCTTATCTGAAGGTCTGGATCTGCCACTACATACTCAGTTCATGCAAACACACTTCTCGGCCATTCAGAAAGCGGAATCCTTTTTTGATTATTTCATAAAAGAGCCTAATAATTCCCCCAGCACACCACGAGTCTATCTCTTCTCCTCAACTCAACCTATTGTAGTTCCCCTGAAGAGTGGAAGAGTGACCCTGGGGACGAGTTTGTGGTTCAAGACGTTGATCGCTGTCTGGGATGTAAGGGTGTTTGCGACCTTGGGTCTAAATGAGTCATTTTATCATCAATCTTTTTCAGCGTGTAGTTGTTTGTAACGCTTTTTAATGTTTTTTACCGATTTATAACCCTAAATCAGTAATTATAGTAATGATTCTTCACCTGATAGGGAGACAACCAGATCTATATTTTCTACGAGCTGTACCCAATCAAACTCTTTTGTGTCTTTGTACATTGCATTTAAACTTAACACTGGCAGGCTTACCGTATAGTCTAACTAAATCAAATACAAAAGTTTTTAATGTAATAAGGCGGAATGAAATCAATAACGATAGTATGCGGACCTCGTCTCGGATCCGGCCCTTGATAAATTCGGTAACGGATTAACGCGGAAAGGGTCTAGCATTATTCACATCATACACAAAAAGTTTGAACAGTGTCTAATGATGAAATGTTAAAGGAGACAAATTAACTAATTTCCTTCACTTGCCTTTCTTTCGACACAGTTTCATAGCTCAGTATTTCAGCCTCCTTATAGGGAAAAAAAACATTTTCACTATTAGGCGGCCCTTTAGTATTTAGGGTTGTCCTTTACTTAGCGAGATACGACTCATAGTCTACTCATCGACTTGACAGCCTCTAACCATCGTGGCTGGCCGTACCCAGAAGTCGTTTGACTTCTCTTTTGATGTCATGCTTCAGGAATCCATAGGCAAAGGGATTGAACGCAGAATTAGCGCACAAAAGTATCTTTTGCAGCAAGAACGCAAGTGGATAGTATTGGCAAAGCTTAAAAGTCGTACAGCAGGTCGTAGCGATCGTTACCGAGTAGCATATCAGGAAGAACACCACAATAGACACGATAAACAACAAGGATGTCAGTCTTCTGCCGTTTTCCTGCCGAAGCTGGGCGACACTGCCACCTTCTGTCGCTGGTTGGTTGTACTGGAGCTGAGCCATCACGACTGTCGTTGCGCGAGTAAGTTTTACAACAATAAAGACCATGTGTGTGGTGACGAGTATGAGAAAGATAGTGGGAACAAATTCAAAGGTCACCACCATGAAGTAAGTATAGTACTTCAAGGCGATGACTTTCTGTTCACTGTAAATGAAAGTGAATGGAAGGAAATTGAAAGTGAAAGGAACAATCCAGGCAATGCAGATCAGTGATACCGTGACGCGGTTTGTCGACGTGAAATGTAAGTATTTGAATGGCTTTGTTATCGCGATATATCGATCCAAAGTGAACATGCACAAGTTTATAACTGACGTTGTGATGAAAGCCCACTGGGAGGAGGCCAATAAAACGTAACGGCAGAACTTGTTTGGGAGGCAGAAGAAATTACTGGGGAAAAGGCTCAAAGTGACGCCAAGATCAGCCAAAGAAAGCGACAAGAGGAACCAGTTGGTTTTTTGCTTGATTAGTGGTTTCTTGGAGATGATAAGTGAAATGATAAAGATATTGCCAACAAAACCCAAACAAGTAAGAAGCCAGCCCAGTACAGTAGACCAGAGAGGGTCCTTTATCATGTTGCCTGAGGCTGAAACCTTGAAAAAATAACAACACAACTCGTGTCAACACAGAATTTCGTTTTAAAATTACGCGAGACAATCTGGGAAATACCAACGAGCATGTAAAAGGTCAACCATCTAAAAACCGAGATGTCTTACTTGATACTTGTAGCCTGTTTAGATTTGGTGAATTTCTTCCCGGTATAGAAATCCGACTCACGGTAATTTATGACCACCCTTATAAACTTTTATCCTGTGTGCAGACGGGAAGGAAACGTTTATAAGAGAAAAAGGTGGACTTCAAAACGTAAGTGCCTATAGCGATTTCAGTTACAGCAGATGGCGAAGAATAGGCTGTCTCTTCAATTTCTTTCTGCAAATAAATGCAAATAAGTTGTCGCATATGAAACTAAATTTAGTCATATAAATAAAAAAGGTTTGTCATTGTTTGAACAAAATAGTATCTTAATTTCCGTCCTTTCTGTTAAACTGCAGAGCTTTATAATGTGGCTTTGTAGT